AGCTTGACACATTAACAAATCGGCCACATTGCCACGAGTGTCCTTGGGCTACAGGACAGATGTGAATTTCAAGAAAGGCCATGCACTTTCCCATATCATCTGGCCTGTGACCCAAGGCCACTCTTGACAAAGTGGCTATGTGAAATTGAATGGAAGCGTCAGCTCTACTCGTATAATTGAGCAAAAATTCAACTACCGGTCCTGCATCACCTTAAATGGTTTGATATCAAACTTTTCCAGTTTACAAATGTTATTATAATGCAACAATTCATCGAAATGATTTTGATTCGTTTTGTAACCGAAATATTTTGGTTTCATAAATCTTTGTACTATGATGAATCGGCAAGTCGTTCAATTTTCAAGTTTAACTCGTCTCCACTGGCTGTTATTGTATCATCAATATATATTATTTAGCAGCTTCCATTTTCTTAGGTATTCAAATTTAGAAATAAATATAATTTTTAGAAACATACTACCTTATTGATATAAGTAATATGAAGTTAAACTTTAATTTATTGCATTATAAATTGAATAGTTTTTCTGGATCAAAACTCTAGATATGATCATTTGACCGCCAAATGTTAAAAAAAGCATCAGGCACAAGGATAAATCGTTCTTTGTTTAGTTGGTATGGGTTGATAATCTTATGGTTTTGCATGTAGCATTGAATGGAGCAGACGGTTATTCATAAATTTGGCACTGCATCTGTTAAAAGGAATGTGTTGTTTTGAGTTTTCGAGGCTTAACCATTTCTGGTTATGTTTGGTAGCTAGTTAGGGCAGGCGATGATAGCATCTTCTATGATTGCTAACCGAACAAGTGTAAATCACTGTTGTTAAGAATAAGACTTTAATTAAATTAAATCTGTAATTAAAGTTAATCCTTCAGCAAACCTTGTTGATATGAGTTCTGAAAAGTGGGTTTTGCTTATGAGCTTTGTGAAGGTAGGAAAGGTAATGTATCATAAATCCATGTATGGGTCTTTCATACTTTTACAAAGCTTAAGGCTATCCGGCAAGCAATTTCAATGAAAAACTTTCTTGTAAATTGCTTTGACTGAGAAAAAAGCTCTGATGGCCAAGAAGAGCAAAATTGCAGTCATCAACAGCTACATTGATATGTAAAACAGACAGACGACAGTCTTTTATAGCCATTTGATGATGCAAATTAATAAGTCTTCCGAAATGATGCCGCTGGGTCAAGGCAGGTGGGCTTTGAGACAAGAGTATAGAACAACGCCAATGCTTATTATTTTGCTAATTCTGCCTATCTGATGAGCCCAGCTACACATAACTACCGTTAGTAGTATCAGTATCCTTGGCAGCCTTTTTCTATTGATACTGAAAAATATTTCATCTAGTTTGAAAAGTCAAGTGAAAGTGGTTCGTAAATTTGCCTTACCGGATACCAAAGGACTTGTACCTGTTGGATTTTGCGAAGAAGACCTCGGCGACCGCGAGCTTTCATCCGTCATGTGAAGCACGTCGTGATAGTCGGAAACCATTATTTACGAACAACCACAAAAATGGTAAACCAAAAGAGGTGGCCGGCTGAGATTATATTTATTTCTTAGACCTCACTTCACGATCTTGATAAGGCATTCCACGATTCGGCTGGCTGCTGTATGCTTGTCCTACATGCACGCGTGCGGGTGAAGATGATGAAATAATCAGGTAGTATGTGGTTACACATTTTCTTTATGTAAACATATAAAAGTATGTGTATGTCATACTGAGGCTCGTTCTAGTTTTGTGGATACGCGTACTTCTC